TCTCTGGCCCCGTCTCCGCGTTGTCTATTACCCGGCTTGATATTTGTCGATACGTTCGCGTGGGCGAATCGACCCGAATGCCAGCTCTGCCTTTTACTCCGATGGCAAACGGTGTCTACGTGGGCAGCGCGCTCGCTCGCTCGCTCTCGCAGGGTATTATAATAAAGTCTCCCGCGGAATGATAGAAAGGTGCATGCTGCTAATAATAGCCTTTCGCAGGGTCGTCAGGTCGGCAGGTGTGCTCGGCTGCGGTATCTACTGTTCCCCGGCGGTTGTCTTCGACTTCCCTGTCGAGAGTTTCGCGAGCCGTTTGCGCGCCGCCGTTATTGAACGGCCTTCGAAACGCCTCGGGGCATCTCGCGGGCGCTCGAAGGCGTAACGCAGGAAAAGGATCGCGCTGATGATCGATGATCGGTCGTCTGATTTCATTTTCATATCTTTTCAACGGCGATAATAAGAGCGCCTTTGTCCACGCGGCGTAACAAAACGACAGCGATATCGAGGTCCCCCGAGCGTCGGGAGAAAGCCGACGGGACGACAGACAGAAATCGAAACGTTGCCGTTGCGAGCTCTTCTGAATTCTAGCCATAGGCGCTCGCGCAGTTATAAAGCATCTTAATAAAAAATAAGAATAAACCGTTAATGGCCATTTGCAGAACCGCTAGTTGGGTGGTAAATGTCCATCGGCCATAAATTGTCCGACCCGATCGGTGCCTTATATCGCGCGCGCGATTGAAACAGAACGACGACGACGACGAGGAGCGGGCCTGACGCATACAGAACGCACGCGGAACGCTTTCCGGAAAATTTATGACGCGTGTCTAATTGTCGATATGTTCTCGCGCTCATACGTTTGGAATCGTGCGCGTCTCTTTGCTCGAATTCTGAGCTTAAAACGAGTGGGCGATTAAGCCGCGCGCTACCGGACGCCGTCTAATTGCCCGATCGGTGTCGCTCGTCAGCGCGAAAGAAACGCGATTTTTGAAGTACGGAGCTCCGATGAAAGGCAAAGATAGAATGTAAGGCCATGAGCAACCGAGCATGAATGTTTTTACCGCCAATATTAATAATATCGTTATTAACTCTAATAGAAATGTATGCAGTTTTCGTTGACACCCGTCCGGTTACTGTCTAGTATTAATGCATTCTCATTAGTTATAATAATACTACGTAGGAAGTGGACAAGAACTTGATAGGATTTTATTCAGGGATACTTCTAGGGCAAAAATGCTCAATGAGTAGCAGACTTGCTTATTAATTAATTGAATAGTTTTTTCTTATGGGTTAGGATTTTGCGCATTTTTTGTGTGCAGTAACTATAGGAAGAGCGTTATACACTGAGAGAAAAACATAGTTATTTTCGGAGACAAGAATATCCTCGGAATGTCAGAAGTTTCGGAGTGGATATTTCGATCTTTTGGATCGAGAACGTCCACCAAGAAAGTTTGAAGACGAGGAACTTGAGCAGCTATCGAATGGAAACTCCGCTCAAATTCAACAGGTGCTCGTACTGCAACTTTGAGTTACCCATCACGGCATATCCATAAAATCCGTGGGAGAATTTCTTATTCTGTTCATCAATTGATTAACACGCCTAATGTATAAACTAAATTACGTAAAGTAAATAAGAAACGTAATTACTTCGGGCGAAGAGGAGGCGCGCGAAGACGCGGGCACGATGTCTTACGCGGAGTCGCAACCAGGATGGTTCCTCGGGGATTCCCATCGCGCCGCGACGAAACTGCGCGACGAATTCGGCCGAATTGGAATTCGGAACGCACGTTGATAATGCGTGCCAGATAACGCAGTCAGATACGTCGGGGTTCGGGACACGTTCAGGACGAGATTCTCACGGGGAGCGCTCCAGCCATCCACGCCCCAGAAACCGACGTGTATCGGGTTCCACGATCCCGCTGGCCTCGCTCCACGTCCGTCTTCCCGTCGTCGACAGAGCTCCTTGAAAATTGCGCAACCGGCTCGTTTTCGCATTGCGATCCCTGCGAGTACAATGACGTAGATCATGCTCTTTTTCTAGGCGCGGGATAAGATCTCGCGAATGAAACCGAAACTGGCCGCTCCCACGTGAACATTAGGTAGGTGCCGCCGCCGTTTGCTCCGAGTCGCGTCGAGGAGATTTAATTGACGAGCCTGTTCGACGAGACGTGAATACGGACGACGTTAATTTACGAAGCTCGGACCGACAGGGGGTGTGAATTATTCTAAATCATGCACTGAGAGAAATTATAGTTATTTCCGGCCTGAATTGTATAACCCTTTTCTTATGGTTTTAACCGCGAAAAGTAGTAGCAACAATATGCGTGTACAGGGAAAAAGTAATTTGCTGGCAGAGCAAATTTCCTGCTGTCGCAGTAAAATCCACCAATCACTATGTGAACAGCCAAATAATTTGTTAAGATTGTTAATTGCTATTCGTTAGATCATTTTGCTGAATCCACAAATTATTTTAATTAATTATCGCTGTAAGAACAAATTAGAATTAAATAAAAAAAAATAAACATTATTTTGTTCTAACAACAAATTAACGTGTTCCAAGGACAAATTTATTCAGCAGAATATTATCTATCCTGACGACAAAACTGTTTCTGCTCTGGTTACGAATAATTCGTTAATTTGCTTATTCCAAGTAAATTTGATCGCTATCGCGACAAATATATAATAAAAAGGATGATTATCCCGTGCGGTAACGCGCAGCGTTAAAGAGAAGCGGATATATTCCGAACAATGATGTTTTACATTCCGTCAAATTAACCGAGCCGCGGACGTCTCGCGGACGAGCGTCGTGGCGTGAGAGAATCATCTCGCTAGTCGTCTGCGAGTCGTCGGTAGTCGAAGTCTAAATAAGCACCCTTGTATTGAATGAGCATAGAGCGTGAGAATAATGTTTAAGTCGAAAGTGGAAGCACACATCATACTCGTCGTCGTCATCGTCTTTTGCGTACAGTACCGTACGGCGGCTTTATGAAACTCGTGTCCGTAGCGGAGGTAGACGTCAGCGGGGCGGACAACGAGACATCTCGTCCTGTCAGCGAGAAGTCAAAAGAACAAGAGCTACGCGAGGTGAAGTGCGCGCGAAGGAGGACTCAGGAAGGCGGATTTATTCGGCCTATTTACGGCGATTGTTTAACGGAAGCCCGCGAACGGGCGTTTTCACGTTAACTACACGCGTAATTGGAGACTCCGCTCTTTCCTGTCTGTCCGCGAACAACAAAGGCGCCCGTTGACAGACGCAGCAGCGGGGAAATTGCAGAGTTGCGCCTAAGTTCGCCGTGCGGAAGGCGGGCCCGCAATCGCACGAACTTTAAATAGAGTTCCTCGGCTGAAACCTTTAATTACGCGCGATCGGTGGAGCAAGTACCTTCGCGAGCGTGCATTGTGCTGCGAGCCTGCCGTGTATTATCGCGGGTACTACACCGATTAAAATATTTCAACGCGCGGATAACGCGCGATCTGGGAGAGCCGTGTGTCTGACTACGCGCCTCTCGACTTTTCTGCGCCTACAGAATTTCTCCACCGTCGTTTCTTCCCGCCGAGACCTTTAATTACGGGCGATCGGCGGAGCAAGTGATTCAGCGACCGCGTTGATAAATCGTTCCGGTGTGTTTTTTTTCCCCTTTACAGCTGAGCCGAGAGTAAAAATTGTGTATCATGCGGTGATATCGCGATACAGGAGAGCTGCTACACGTGTCTCAACGCGCTGGCATTGACTTTCCGGTATCGACCTCGGCGAGGATATTAGGAATTCGTCGCACGAGCGAAGCGCGGCTCGCGGGAACTTCGGGTCGACTCGACTGCTCGACTCCTCGGATTTAGAATAATCCATATTCTTTTTGTGGGCGTGAACCAGATGTAGAGAGGAGCACGCAGTCGCGGTGTCGCCGGGTTACCGTGAAACGTGACTGGAAGGATAAGGGTTTCGATTCTTCCACAAGCAGACCGGGATCGACCACATGAGCTAATAAATCCGCCGTCTTTCATATTCACCGATCCCGCTCGTTCTTCGGCTACGTTCGCAGAAGGAATATGATTGAAGCCGTAATTGGAGCGCTTGTATTTTTTGTCCCAATCGTGAAATCCGTGCTCACGAACGCGGCATAAAACATGACGCGACCCTTTGCGGCGCATTCGTTGATGAAATATTTCGCGTTGCACCACATTGGCAAAATAACGGCAATTCTAAATAAATCCTAGTCGAAATTTCGTTTCTACGTTAACCTTAGATTACTTGAATATAAGATAAATTATAGATTTACATACTTGTTTTAGCACTCTCTTTCATTAAAAGAAAAATGTGTAATCTTTTGACCATCTTGTCCCCCCTCGTAAAAATCTCATGATGATTTTGGCTTTTGTGTTAAGAGTCTCTTAAGATACAAAAATCGAGATTATTGGGCATAAAAGTGCATAAGTCACAGATTTAACATCAAGACGATAGTTGTATAGTGTTACGTCTTGAGATACTCCACTAGTTCTTCAGGTTGGGCGAGTTTCGCAAGGTTAATGTAAAGCCGTGACGTGAAATTTCAACTCAGGTACACGCGCCGAGGCACGTTGAAGCCATCCCGGTTTAGAGAGGCTTTAAATTTGAACGTCGCCGGATCGCCGGGCGGCTGTTACGTTTCACCGGCGTACCTTGAAAATCAAGCTGCGTGATCGCGTAAGAAGATAAACGAGAGTCGCCTATTGCGACGGCCGGCGATAGAAGTAAGTGGAGAATATAAAATTACGCGAGTCTCGTCGCGCTACGTGGTGTCGTTGCTTATTTTATCCGCGAGGACGCCGGTGTGACGCTCGTAAAATCCTGGCGCATGGGAGCATAACGACGGCGCGAAATTGGTACTGGAGCGTAAAAGCGGGTTACGTAAGGCCGGCTCGATCGCTCGTCGTTCGATTGATTTCTAGAATAAAAATAGCACGGACGATTCAGCGACGTGGCCGAGGACACGCGTCGTCTCTAACGCGAACCACCTTCTGCTTCGCAGGCGATATAGAGGACTGCCTGGTGGCTCCGGTTTCCCAAGGCCAGTTCACGCCGCTGCCAGAAGCCCTGTGCTGGGCCATTTTGGAGCTCACCTCGCAGAGGCAGGCGGCGACCTTGGACACCCTGAGATCAGCCCTCAGGAACGCCTTCCCGGCCATGCAGAGACCGAGCCGCGAGCTCGTTTACGACGCGCTGGCGAAGCTCATGCAAGAACGAAAGATCTATCACACGTCTCAGGGCTACTTTGTCGTAACGCCCGAGACCAAAAGGCTCAGGCGCGACTCCGGTAGCTCGAGGCGGTGTTCCAGGGACGTGAATGGGTCCAGGGGTCAGGGCAGCATGCTGATGAGTAACGACGAAGCGGTGGCTCTCGTGCACGGCGAGATGCTCACTCTGAGAGACGGCGATGTTACGCATCAGGCTGTACAGACGAACCTGGCGGACGTTATTTGCGGAGGTAAGAGTCCCGCGTATTTATCTTCTGACGTCATCGGGACTCGTTCTTTCGCGGCGGACAAAGTTCGCGATCTGTTAACGTTCGTACGGCGCCAGCCGCGACGCGAGGACGCTTTCGACGGAAATTATGCTCTCTCTCGTCGTCGTCGTCTTTGGATATTTTAGTTAGCGGAGAATGCGAAGGCGCGCGCGAAGATAAATGTGGTCGGAGGAGCCCGACTATTATTCTCCCGGTGGGTTGTGCGTCACGTCTGTGCGAACTTCACGCGGAAGTTGTCGCACGAGAAGCTCGCTAACTATCGCGAAAATATCAGGAAAGGAGGGTGTCGGGTGACGACGCGATTAACGTGCTCTCGTCTTCATTCGGTAGCCGCGCGGAGAGTCCTCTTATTAGAGTGTCGCGTTGTCTCCCGCGGTGAGAGGGAATCCACCGAGGGAAAGTTCACCGTGACCATTGCTGCCCGTGCGAAGCGGCCCCGTCGTGCGATATCAATCGTGATCGTTAATTGTAAATTTATAACGCATCGTCGGCCGACTTAACGGCGTTGCCGAGACATTACGAGCCGAGCGTGTGCATTAAAGTGAGATATTTGAGTATCGTGGCCGAGAGGTGAAACGCGAGAATGATTCTTGGCCATAAAGTCCCGGCGAGTATATCGTGAAAAGAAATCAACGGACACTTCGAGTCACATCGGGACGAGCGTGAGAAACGTGCAAAAGCGCGTAGTTTGCGCGCTGCTTATTCTTATTTATTCAAATTCGCTCGATTTCCTCCGGCGCGATTGTCGTAACCACGCGAGCGCCGGTGACGCGTGCAAAGGCGGACGAATAAATGCGCGCGGCCGAGACGAGGTCGAGAGAGCTCGCTTTCGCTTCGTGTCTCGTGATGATAGGAGATGCACAGGAAGCCGGGCCCTCGTAAACCCGAGGAGGAACTCGCCCGGCAGACCGGTCGGTCCGGGCAAACTCGTTCGGCACGTGTTCGGGAAACGTTTCGATTGTCCAGGAGGAGCTCCTCACTAGCTGCTCACTCCGTTCAGGCCTTTTTCTCCTCTCGACTCGACGGACGGGTCGAGAGAGCGTTTATGTTGTTGTCGTCCTTGGTAGCCACGCAACTCCGGCCGTCGGAAGATCGTCAATTCCTACCGCGAGGCGCGTACGAAAAATCACCGTGCGATCTTAATTTCGCTTTTTGCCACGTTCGCGGAAACCTCTGCGGCGGGGACCTTCGCATTGTCGGTGACTCTTCTTGCGAAGCGGGACGACGAGCCGAAGCTCCCCCCCCCCCCCCCC